CAACACCAGTCAATGAGTAATAGAACAAGGAAACTATTTGTGAAGGTTAGGGATGAGCTTCTCAGCCGGCAAGGTTTGTCACACTGTGGGAGATGTCATACTCTATGCATTGCACAGACATACATTGTCAATCCCTCTATCACCCTTATCTTTTTCTGTTACACAATAACTCTGCAGAGATTCCTGTTAAAAAAAGAAAACATCTCCTCCTGCTCCTGAGGATTTTTTTTTCTTTACACTGCCTGTGGTATGGTGCCTGATCCACTCCCAATATCTGTTAGGAAGACCATACACTATACAGTCTGATTGTACAACCTCCTTTAGATCTACCAACAACTATGTAATGTCAGGGCATGGCCATTTGAATACAAATTGAATGGCTTATTTTAGGTGTGTCTTCATTTTACACAGCTCCGGTAATTTTGAGATCAGATTGTAGTGTGTATGGCTGCCCTTGGGCTGGACATACACTATACAATCCAATAGTACATTATAGCTTAGGAAACTATATAATAGTTAGGCAAACCTAAGCAATCCATTTTTTTCCACTGAGGTAGGCCCTTACACTTCATGGTTGTTGGTAAACTTGTAGGAGATTTTTTAGGCTTTCTTTATTCTATTTTCTTCTGGTGATCCAGGCAGTAAGTCTAATATATTTCAACAGAACAAGTTTTCCAGCAGAATGCATCAGTTTACTTGGATGAGACAAACTATTTTCCATAGGGAGGAGTGATTAAATGATCAGCTTTTATGTATTGATGTAAAAGCCTTTATCTCAAAACAAAACGGTTTGCTGTAACAGATTACAAAGTGTGAGCTTGAGTTTGGCTTCAGTGTGTTAGTGATTCTAAATCTGCTAATACATTTATCACTCCCCTTTACCGCAGATTGACAATGCTGCTGGGCTCCATTCATGAAGCAGTTTAAAAAATACGAGATAAAGCAATAGTGAACATGTGCTATTTGGGAAAAATGTGTTAGATCACCTAAATACAGATTGCGATCTGCTTTAGTAAATGGAGCCTGGTGCATGCTGTTCCTCCTGTGCTCATTCCTCCAGGTTGTGTTTCACTAATACAGAAGGTGTGTCACTGGCCAGATCACCAAGTGAAAACAGAAGAAAAAAGCCAAAGAAAAGAAATAAAATACAGCCAACACATCTAATGACTGGTAAGCTGTAATAGAAAACATTTTTGGTTTTGAGTTCAATACAGCTTTAACATTCGCTAAAGCTGCATTCACATCCAAGCAATCTGTGCTTTTGTATGCTTTCATGGCACATGTGAAAGACATGTTTGTGGTGCCATATTGAGACTCAGAATGCGGCAAGCAGACACATAATTTTCACATGTGACAAGTGTGCCAAAATGCGCAGTTAAAAAAATGTGCGAAGCTCAATGCCTAAAAAGGGATGAGAAACAATATTTTCTGGAAACAAAATGACAATTGTTTATGATTCCCATGCTTTAGTTAACTTCTGTTAATGTTATCCAGGGTTTAGATCTACTTGAAGGGCCCCGCTGTGTGTATGGTCATTGTGCAACTGCAGAGCGAAAAATAACCCACACATCATAGAAATGACGCTTAGAAAGATTTGTCAGGTGAAAGTGAATGTTGAAATGAGGTTTTCCTGGGAGTGCCCCATGTTTGACATACAATTTGGTTGCTGGGTTGCCAGTTTCACACAAATGCCAAATCATACACAGAGAGGAGAGTCTGGCATGGGCAGTGTCACTGCATTGCACAGTACTAAGCAAACACACAAACATGAAAAAAAGTCAGCAGAAAAAGTACACATGGGCAGTGGGGGCTGACTCTTTGTTTTTTGCATTTTAGTCTGAGGATAGACCTATGTTTATCTCGTTCACTCTTTGTGCAGTGATGGGTGTTTTTCAGAACTTGATCATTGCCAGTTACTGGCAATAATATATATACATACATGTAGCCTTGCCCCCTTAGGAGTCACTGTGTTATTTTCGGGCTTCCTGTCATTCTGAACCCCTCCCTATAAGCCCAACCCCTGCTGACACCACAAGATTCCTTTTACCAAAGTAAATGAACACCAGAAAGTAAACTCACACACAGATTAGAGTAAACTGATATGAGGTTTATATTAAACGTCAATGTAACCTTGGTTGAACATTACAGACTGGTATTGATACTTGGAATGGCAATAATTACTCTTAGCAACTCTAAGCAAAGAAGTAACACATATAGCAGACATTCAATCAATATTAGCAGGCCAGCTTTTCAGAAATTAACCCAATGCCTTCAACCTGAGATGGGGCAACCCCAGTGAGCAATAAAATCTAGCAATAATGGGACTAGCTCACTTTGGGCCCTCAGAGTCTGGACTGCAAAGTTGAAATCTGGGGTAAAAGAGCTCTTTGACCAGAGTAGTCAATGTCCCTTTAAGAGCAGCGAGGACTCTTTTGCACGCTCGCTGGGGCCCAGTTGGTGCACAAATAGGCAAGGATGTAGGCGATAGTTCCTGACATGATACAAAGGGGAGGTAGAAGAAAGGACAAGGACTTTCCCTTCAAGTGACACTTGACTTGCGTGTTGTCTCCTTTAATGTGCTGGGAAAAGAGCAGCTTTTAGGCAAATAGTGTTAAACTGGCAAATGGGCTTGTTAGCAAAAAGGCAACTCCACAGTGGGATGCGGTGACCAATGGCAATAGTAGTAGAAGTTCCTATAGGAGGATAGGCCAATGGTTCATGGAGCACTCATGTGGTCTGGCCTGCAGGAGGCGTGCACTGTGGTCAGCTCTGATGATCTGACTGTACTGCAAATGTGTTCAACAGTAGTGTCTATGGGAACTAGGCCACAACATGTGTTAACTGAATGCAATGTCCACAACTCTGTGCAGGAAAAGTAGCAGGTGTGAGGAGAATGTCAGTGTTCTCTTCCCTAATATGGGATTCTCTCACCCAATGAGTGGCTTCCAGAAGGTCCTGGCTGTCTCTCTTGGCAGATGGGGGCTCCCACAGGTTCTCCGGCCTCAAGTGCAGCGTTCCGTCGGGTCACTGCACTCCGGGTTACCTGCAGGCAGACTGTCTCTCTAAACAAGGTGGCAAGGTTGGCAGCTCCTCCTTGCTTCTCACTCAGACTTTGCAGCCTGGTCCGGTTCACCGGCAGTCGGCACCACTCTCTCTCTGCTTCCTCTCTCCCCTCTCACTTCTTGTCCAGTCTCCCGAGCTTCTGTATATATCTGCCCCCCCACCCACACACCATCACTTCTGGGAAAAGTAATCCTCTGATACACTGCAACTGACATTACAGCAAGGGTGTTACACACATTAAAGGATAAGTCCACCTTTGGGAACATGTTATACATTCCACTCGTTTTTTTGGTTCCCACTGCCAGAGCCACTACCCGCTCAGCTGCATCTATTGACAGCTAGCGATTGATCTTCTTCCTCCATTTGCTGTCACTATTTAAAAAAAACATGCATGCAGAATTCTGTGAATGAAAAACTACAAATCCTGAAAGCCTTTGTGGTTGTCAGCTTGTAGCTCTCGATGAACTACCACAGTGCTGTTGAGTGCTGTGGTAGTTCATTGATGCTTCCCATCAGTGTGTATCTGCTCGCATGTGTGAGGTATGAGGTACAAACAGCAGGGACGTATCTGCCGCGAGGCTAACAAGGCATCTGCCTTGGGCAGCATTTTTTAGAGGGGCGGTAATGCCCCCAGGCGGAAGCGACTAGTGCCGTCACTGCAAAGGGCTGTGCTTGGACAGGGGGGCGTGCACGTGTGTTTGGGCAGGGAGGAGGGCTCGTGTGTGCTTGGGCAGGGGCGAGGACGGGTGAGGAGACAGAGAACCTGTCAGTCATGAGGCCGCCTAGATAGGAGAGGTGGCCGGGCAGCACATAGAGGACTGTGCATTTTTCGGTTCCTCCATGTGCCGCCCGGCCGCCTCTCCTATCCATCTTCTGCATGTGGCCGGCTCCTGTATGCTCCCCACGGGCGCCCCTCCCTCCCTCCCCTTATCTTCAGTGCTGCGGGGAAGCTGTCAGCATATGCTGTCCCCAGTGCTGACAGTCCCCCCCCCCCCAACACACACACACACACACACACACACACACGGGAGAGCAGAAAGAAAGCTGCCCCTCCTCCTCCCGCGCTCTCCTCCTGTGTCTGCCCCACCCACACTTCCACCCAGCCTTGTGTCTTCTCCCCCCCTTCTCTCTGTCTCCTATTTCTTTTCTTTCTCTTTTTTTTCTCTCTCTGTCTCCTGTTTCTCTCCTTCTATAAGTTTTTTTTTCTCTCTCTCGCTCTCTGTCTTCTGTTTTCCTCCTTTCTTCTTTCTATACGTCTCTCTTTCTTCCTCTCTGTCTCCCGTTTCTCGCCTTTCTTTCTCTCTCTGTCTCCTGTGTCCCTCCTTCCTTCTTTCTGTCTTCTGTGTCCCTCCTTCCTTCTCTCTGTCTTCTGTGTCCCTCCTTCCTTCTCTCTGTCTCCTGTGTCTCTCCTTTCTTTCTCTCTCTTGCTCTCTTTCCCTCCTATACATCTCTCTTTCTCTATCTTTCTTTCCCTCCTTCCTTTCCCTCTTTCCCTCCCTCCTTTCTTTTCTCTCCTTTCTTTCCCTCCTTCCTTCCTACAAAAATATAAAATATAACATTGTAAAAATGTAAATAAAAACCTACTAACACTAGTGGCAGAACTACCAGGGTTGCAAAGGTTGCTCTTGCGACTGGACCCTGGCATCCGTCACCGGGTTCCAAGGAAAGGGGCCCTGGGCTTTGGGCTGCCCGGGCCTATTTTTTTGTCCCAGTCTGGGCCTGGCCATGCCCAATAAAGGGCACGACGTGTATGAAGATCTACAGGTTCTACTCGTTTTACTAGGAGGTGCAGTATGAGTCCTCTCTGAGGTGCTGGATGTTTAGCTATGCTGGTGAAAGCTGTTGATGTAGACTAGAAAATTTTGGCAACTGTGAAATGACTTCATTGTATATTATATTATATGAATTAGTGGACACGTGCCAGCACTGGGATGAGTTGTGTTAACTCTTTGAGTGGCTTCAAGGTGTAACAGGTTGTACAGCACCCATCTAATGTATGTAGGCAAACCAGTCATCCATAGTGCTTGGTATAGACCAGACCTCTCAGCTGGTTCATAGTCTCTGACCGTCTCCTGTCCGCAGTCTCTGACAGTCTCCTGTACTATGTCTGCAGTCTCTAGTCATCTCCTGTACTATGTCCGCAGTCTCTGGTCATCTCCTGTACCATGTCCGCAGTCTCTGGTCATCTCCTGTACCATGTCCGCAGTCTCTGGCCATCTCCTGTACCATGTCCGCAGTCTCTGGCCATCTCCTGTACCATGTCCGCAGTCTCTGGCCATCTCCTGTACCATGTCCGCAGTCTCTGGCCATCTCCTGTACCATGTCCGCAGTCTCTGGCCATCTCCTGTACCATGTCCGCAGTCTCTGACCATCTCCTGTACCATGTCCGCAGTCTCTGACCATCTCCTGTACCATGTCCGCAGTCTCTGACCATCTCCTGTACCATGTCCGCAGTCTCTGACCATCTCCTGTACCATGTCCGCAGTCTCTGACCATCTCCTGTATTATGTCCACAGTCTCTAACCGTTTCCTGTACCATGTCCCAAATCTCTGACTGTCTAACATATCCTGTCCGCAGCCTCGAATAATACCTAGGCTTTAAGGGCACATTCCCATGCAGCGCATTTTGTTTCAATAGTCTGCCAAACGCACGTGAACGCGCATAAAGTATAGCAAGTATGACTTTTATAAGCTGACTGCACCAAACCACATGGTACTATGGTATCATGCACTAAGGTAGCCACAACGTGTGCATTTGTTAGATGTATTTAGGGTGTCGTTAACAATTATGGCACCCACATATGTCTGTGTGTGGTGCAGGAAACACACATTGCTGTGAACGGGCCAGTAAGTCAGATATCAGGAACAGGCAGGGTACAAGCGTGTCTATGTCAAAGAAAATGAAATGCATTCCAGCAGTCCATTTCTTAAACTGTTATTTACCATACACATTATGAAACATCTACTTCTTATTGAAGGTTTTTGTTTGGCTATCCATAACAGGAGAAGGCAATACTGAGTACTTATTCATTCTTGCAGGAGGAGTTTTCATTCTGTTCCAAGAGGATGCAAAACCCCCGACCTCTGTCTGGACAGTGCTGATTGGCCCTGTGCTGATCACATGCACTCTACCAAGAAAAAAAAAAACCCTCTCTAGCAATAAACACCAAACTGAGCATATGCAGAATGGCTATAGGTTCAGTCTGTCTTATCAGGAGATAAGACATGGACATTTGAAACAAGAGGAGGAGCAGAGAAGACAGGATCAAAGGGCCTTTTTACACAATGCAGAGGATTAACCCCTTAGGTTCCACAGTAAGTATAACAAGCATGCTTTACTGCATATACAGACTGATTTTATGTTGTGGGTTTAGTAACACTTTAAATAATGTAATGTTACCCTGGGCCTCTGCCTACAGCACCTAGACAATGGTGACATCATCATCTTTCTGGCAGGATCCTGGGAAATGTGGGGTATCTCAAGTCATATGATAAGATATGCCCCGCTGTGCTAGTGTGCTATCTCACCAGATTGGGGATACTCAGCATTCCCTGGGAACTCTAGGAAAGGATAGAGACATCACCCCGTGCAGTACGGAATATTTTTAAGGTAAATATTACAGTGGAGACACCTGTTCGGGCGACAACTGGAGCATTGCCAACTACTACAAGTGAGTGTTGGGTTGTGTATCTCAAACCGGATCTGCAGTCCTGTGGCCAAATGAAAGAACTCACACGGCAAAATTGACATTGCTACTCCTCCATAGATACAGTGCACTGAGTTAGCTTTGTCATCCTACGACAGGGAAGGTGTTACTGGCACCTTTAAATAAAGTGAAAAAAGAAGACTAATGCAGCCACCACATCTAAGGAGTGATAAGCTGCAATCATTACATTTCTGTTCTTTGGGTTAGATTTGCTTAAAGTGGTAGTAAACTCTTTTTTATACTTTTACCTACAGGTAATGTTTTAATGAATACCAAATTAAAAAAGAAAAAAAGCGCCACTTACAAAAAACACCAAAATGTCAGCAGCATATCCCACCCAAAATAAATTTTGGCAACAATAATCCTAATTAAAAGGTATGCGCTAATAACAAACTTATACAAAGGTGTATATCATCATCCAAAAAAACAGTGTTTTAAAATAAATAATTATAGTGTCCAAACATAAAATAGTGTCCAAAAATATATATATTATATCTTCAGTGACTTGAACCAATTGTGAAAAATCCACCACCAAAGGAGATTAAATGAACTCACCAGAGCTAATGGCTGGTCAGATTATAAACCAGCAACAGCGCTTGTGCTCTGGGAGCAATGAACCCGATGTCAAAATAGATATGGTGATGTTTCAGATACTTCCAGATAATAATAATCACAGACAAACAACTTTGCAGTCCATGAGAGCTTTGCTAGAATGGCGAAGTATTAAAAAATTTAAACCTTTTGGGTTGTTTTCGGGCAAATTTCGGGGAAAAAATTTGGGTTTCGATGGGGAAAAATTTTCCCGCTGCAAATTTTTAATTTTCAAAAAGGGTTTTTTCTAGGCTTCAGAGACCCTTTTTATTAGTGAGAAACTGAAAACCTTTTTAATTTTAAATGCCCTTTGGATTGCTGGGGAAAGAAAAAACTGTAAATCAGTTTGACATGCAGATGAGTGCCGCAAAATCTTAGAATAAACCCGCAAAAACTTAAATTTTTTTTGGGGGCATCAGGGGGCCAAAAAAAAGGTGGGGAGCCAAAAGTTGTGGCTTTTGGAGGAAAGGGGAAAATGGGGGGCCAAAACAGCACCCTATGAAAAAAAAGGGGAAAACCCAACCGGGCAGTGTGAGGAAACCTGAAATTTGGCACATGGCAGAGTGGGCGAGGGGACGCAGCAGAATGGGGAGGCCGAAACCGGGAAAAAATTGACACATTGGACCCCCCCCAAGCAAATTGGGGGAGGGGGTACAGGGGGCCATGACAAAATTACCCCCCTGGAGCACCCTGGGGGAAATTTTCGGTACGGGGGCCCTTTGGCGTTTTGGGGGCCTGGCACCCGCAAGGGAGGCCCAAAACAGCACCCCCTATAAATCAAAAAGGGAAAGCCACCCACAAAAGGTGTGAGGGCCCTGAAAGGGGACGGGCCAGATTTGTGGCGAGGGGAGCCCGAAAGCAATGGGAGGCCTTTACGGGACCCAAAGGAACATTTGGGGACCGGAAAGCAAGATGGGGGCGGAAAGGGGGGGCCCAGGGAAAGATTAGGGGCCGGGCACCCGGGAAAATTGGGGGGGGCCCAAAAATTCCCAGCACCTATAACAAAAGGCCCCCACCAAAGTGAAAGGGAACCCTGAAAGTGGCACAAGGGCGAGTCGGGCGATGAAGTAAAGCCCCAATGGGGGGCCGTAAGGGACCCATGACACACTCTGGACCTGGCAGCGCAAGAGGAGGGCGGACGGGGGCCCAAATGGCAGAGTGGGGGAAGCGAAAGGGCTTTTTAAATTTAAAAAGGGCCATACAAGGCCTTTTGTTAAAAAAAAATAAAAATTTTTTGGGAACTTGTTTAGGGCCCGGTTTTAATCAGTTGGTCGGGAAACGGTGGTTTGAAATCCAAAAAAAACCCCCAAGCCTGTTTTTTTTCCCACAAAGGTGAGTTTCCCCCAATTGGGTGGACATTTGTTCCTGGGGGAGTTACAATACCTCCTCCCGCATAAACACGGCTGGTTTCCCGCTACTGGCCGGAAATAACCCCTTTCAAGGGCAAATTCAGCTATTTTGGGGGCCAAAAGGGGCAATTTCTTTGCCAGTGTCAAAGGGGATTGTCTCCCTGGGTTTGGGGCAGGGTGCGTCCAAGGGCCCCGGGGCCTGTTGTTTAAAATTTCCGGGCTCCAGGTCCCCCCTGATGCTGCTGCTGCTCGGCTGGGTTCGTAGCCCCCTACGGGCGCTGGTGAAAAAAAGGGCTACTCATCATCGACTGCAGATGGGAGTCCCTGCTGGTGGAGGGGCCATGTTTACCCCACCCCCCCCCCCTCTGCCTTGGAAAGGGGGAAAGCAGTGTACAGGGCCCACAGTGTCTGGGGAAAGGACTTTTTGGCGCGGGAAAGGCGGGAGACCAATGACCTTACATAGGGGGTTTTTATATTTACTTTTTTTTGGCCCCCCTTCAGAAATTTGTAAAAAAGGGCCCCACCATTTTTAAAAGGGAAGCGAGGGGCCAAACCCAAGGGGGGGACAACCAAAAAGGGTAAACCCCTCTGTTGAGGTTTAAAATTTTTTGGGGTTTGTCGCTAGGGAAAGCAATTAACCGAGAAAGGCTAGGGGCCCATTTTGGGGGAAAAAGGAATGCGGGGGGGACCCCCTGCCCCAAACTCCACAGCATACTGCAGGGTTTCGGGGGGTCCTCTGTCTCCCCCTCCTCCTTTTCCAAAATGCCCTGCTCCCCCAAATTCCTTTTTCCGCTGAGTGGAAAAAACCCAAAATTTACTCAAAAACCCCTTTTGAGACCCAATGCCCTCCTCAAACCTCCCCTCTTTTTCCCGGGTCCTCCCCCCAAAGGGGTTTTGTGGGTTGAGATTTTGGGGGCGCCAGTTCCCGCACCCTGACCAGCCTTTGTTAAAGATTTTTCCCAAAGGCGTGCAACAGGGGGAAATGACTTGGTTCATCCCCATAGCCTCCCCGACTCACAAATTTGCGTGGCCCCCCCAAAAGGGTTAAAGCAAGCGGGGGTGTCACCCCTGAGCTAAAAGGTGACTTTAAAAGTTACACGGGGGAGTATTTAAATCCCTTTTTAACCCACCCCCAAAGGAAAATGGGTTTTGATGGCCTTTCGCTTTTGTAAAGGGGGTCTAAATATGTGGGGTTTAAATTTTCACTTTTTTGGGCAACGTAACAGCAAGAGGAGGGGGGTAAGGGCCCATGGAGCTAACAGGCTGCAGCTAGCAATGGGAGGCCCGTAATTGCCAGACCTATGACAATGGACAGCACTCAGCAGTGTGAGGAGACCTGAAAAGTGGCACATGGAGCGTGTGGCGTGGAGGGACAGCAGAATGGGAGGCGTACAGGGGACCCATGAGACACTGTGGACCTGGCAGGAGCATGAAGGAGAGCGGTTACGGGGCCATGGCAGTTAAGGGCTGGCAGCTGGCAATGGGAGGCCAGCGTAATTGCCAGCAACCTATGACAAAAATGAAACACCAGCAGTGTGTTGTTGACTAGGGGGGGGGGTGGGGGCATTGGCAGAGTGTGGGGTGAAGGAGGACAGCAGCAATGGAGGGTACAGGGACCCATGAGGACTTGGACCTATTGGCAGCAGATGAGTGGGGGAAGGCGGTACCAGGGGCCATGGCACAATTAGGGTGGTGAGCAGCAATGGGAGGGTTACATAGGAGGGTTGGACGCCCCCCAATAAAAAATTGGGACGCACCAGCCATTTGTGAAAACCCGGGAAATTTGGCCCTGGCCGGGGCCCCGTGCCCGATAAGGCCCCACCAAAGGGGAAAGGCCCCGGTACGGGGAAACCCATAGCAAACTCTGGATT